ACATTATATATGAATTAATTGAATTAATTGTATTTATATTATATTTTAATAATTAAATTAAAATAAATGTTTAAAAGTATTTTGAATTGAATATATATTAATGCTTTTCATAATATATTCACACACACATGGTAGCTGGGATTCGAACCCAGGTTAAAACGGCTACATTGTGAAATTCTTCCCACCCCTCTAAGAATGGTTGAAGATTTAAAATTCTTATATACAGATCTATAAGTGGTTAACAGTAAAAAAGAAAAGAATTACAATTTACATATCTGGAAAAAAACTTTACATTTGTACAGTATGAAATGAAGAAATATTAAATTAAAGGGGCATTTGGCTGGCCTTGGGAGATAGAAAATCACCCTAGCACCGGTTTCAGTATCTGGAAAGTCTGCCTGTGTCCTGCTTCTCTTACTTCACCAGAACTGCAATGCAAGGAAAACGGTTCAAAAAAAGGACAACTTTGCAAGAAACAAAGTGTTTTGTGACTAAAAACTGATTGACCAAGGCTAAGGTACGGAGGCTTACGCCGCTTACCAACTTCTTCTTCTTCTTTTTCTTCTCAATATAAGCCAACAGCTCCTGCTGTTGGGACATTGATTCTTCCAGGGCCTGAACAAACAAAGATAATCACTTAAAACCTAATATTGCTATTGAACAGTTTCAGTTTTCTACTGTTATCTGTAAAGCTAATAAATAATCCACCATTAAGGCAAGCATATGCAAGTCTCCTGATATGGTAATTTGAATACAAAGTCCTTATAATTGAAAGGGAAAAAAACTCAATTAAGCTTGAATTCTATTGAGAATTATCCACAGAGAAAAAGTTAATTTAGGCAAATGGAAATTATTTGTTACCGGTTGTAGCTTTTACTATTCTGTATGATTGTGTGGTTTATAACCTTACAAAAGATAACACCAATTACCTTCTTGGTTGCCGTAAGCTCTTGCTCCAAGGTTTCAACCCGGCTAATTGCTGCACTCAAAAGTTCATCCTTCTCAGGTGGCATTTCTGCAGGTTTTGTGTTTAAAACACTCAACTTCTCTTCTAATTCGGCCATACGTTTAAGGACAGCCATGTAGTCCTCCTTAGAAATGCCAGGTTGAGATTTGGGTGATGGGTTATTGCCTTTAATATCTGCATCAACACAGTAAAGAGGGCTGGAATAGATGTTGGCATCAGTGAGCTTCCTAGGCATGTTCCGTGTCACTCGGATCATGGTGACAATGCCCATAACAAAGGTCATAACACCAGTCAGAAGATTATTGCTAAGCCCATCATGAATCTTGTTACCTTGAAGTGCAATACAATCTGCCGTTGCAAGTGATAGAAACCTTAGAATACACAATAAAAGAGAAAATTGGCAGCTTAGTGCAGTGGCTTGTATTTAAACAACCTTTGTTTTGTCTTTCATACTGTACCCACAACTTTAGACTCAAAGCTAATGTAGTTGCCATACTTTCTTCAATAGATAACAGTGCTTCATGGAACTTTATTAATCTCAATAAACGATTAGTAACAGGGCAAGCAGACCGTTTACCTTTTCGAAAGTTAAGTTGGTGATTCTCTAGCACCTTCCGCCAAGCTGAATTCATGTTTTTATCAACCACCGGGACCATATCATATTTCATGGACTTACGGCTAACTTGGCGAAATGGATTCTGGCATATGCAAGCATGACGGTACATCAAATTAAAAGTAAAAGAATGCAACTTCAAATGTCCAATGTTCTCAAACTACCAACTGCCAGGCACCAGAGGCAGAGGAACGTGGACTCTAGTGGCAGAGGGGCATGATATGTGAAGTCATCGACCAACATATCATTTATGCTTATATATGTTACAACTATAACAAGCTGGTTATTCAACTCGCAGGTAAATTATGGCGCCACTAAATTGGATTCTATATCTAGATAGATTTGGCTAATCTTAGTGCTTTACCTGAAACCTCTAAGAAGAAGAAGGAGTAACGAGTTTGGTATTCTTACGTTTTCATGAACAGGGGACAATCCTGGATGCTCTATATGTTTCCTTGAAAGTTTAGAGGAGATAGATCGCAGGATTTCTACTGCTGGAATTACAATGTCAGGAGAGTCACAAGCCTCAGTGGGCTGTATAAAAAATTACACTAGTCAGTCAAACAATAATAAGAAGAGGAAAGCCAGATAATTGAGAGAAACTAGATAATTAGAATGCAGACAAAGTGAAACCTTTGAGTAGACAACATCAGCCTCAGAAATTGTCTTCTCTTCAGCGCTTTCAGTCTGCAATCTCTTGGAACATTTATGTTGGCCATTTCTAACCATCTGCAAGTCCAAAAGCCAGTTATAGTTTGGTATTTGAGAACAAACCAAAGCAGATAATCACTCTAATTAGACAATTAACATCATAGTCACCTTCATGATCTCTAGGTCCTTCCATGGGCCCTTATCAGAAAGCATGCAGCCTCCATGCTCAGCACAAGTACAGGTACCTCCCAAAAAGTCTGGTAACTCACTTTTATCAGCCAGACCACCAAAAAGGCAAAATTAGTAAAAACAATATATACATGGTTAACAGGCAATGGTTGAAGTAAATGCCCTTTTATTATTATTATTATTTTTGGATGAATCAGCAAAATTAAATACTTGATGACAGCATGGCTTGTGCTTTCTTTTTCTCTCTGGGGGAGAGATATAAAGGATAGCAGGGTGACCAAACTCAGTGATAAAAGTTTAAGATAGATTATTGAGTGGAGACTTACCTAGCATCAATTATTTCGAGCAACTTGGGCTGGAACTTATTGCTAAGCACCTGATGAATAATAGATTTTACCAATTTACCATATTCTTTAGATGAAAACACAGCAAATTCAGTTCAGAAAAAATCTATACTTACATGGATCTTGGCTGTGGTCTTGGGATCAAGGAAACTCTTAACAGTGTTCCACAACATTCTAAATCCGGAACCTGCATTGATGATGAACATGCGGTTCAAAGTCTGCAGAAAACAAAAATTTGCATGATATTATATAACTGCTGCCTAGAGTTGGAAGTCACAGATGAAATACACCAAAATATTGTTGGTTCTTAAGTTATCAAGAACAGTGCTAATTTGATGGTAAAAGAAGCTGAATAACATTTAAGAGATTAGTACCTCAGGATAATTATCACCATCAATCTTCTGAAGACAAGTTATAAGTTCCCTTGCAGCTTTGTTAAAGTTTTTAAGACCCTGTAGCATTAATTTAATTTATGAAAGGTTCTCAAAAATAAATGTCATTTTGTTCAAACCAACATGGGAAGGAGGTGAAGGGAAAAGGTTGTTGAAGTCACCCAAGGATCTTATAATATGCCTTATGGTGTCTATGTGTACTTTTCAAAGGTAGTTCTAGTGATCTCAAAGCACTACTTAACAACTTTAGTCAAATTTTGTGTCATAGTAGTGACAATTTTTGCCACTTACCACTCCTTGCACATCCAAGATGGTTGTACTTTGATCAATTTGCCTCCTTGCTGCAATTGAACAAGCTGGAAACTTATCAGAAAAGGTCCTCTCAAACTCCTTTACATGGTATCTGATAAAACGGTCCATGGTTGTTACTTGCATGAGCTTTGTGGAATCTACTCCACCTAGCCTCTCAATGTAAACAGGTCGCCCTTCTTTATCTACTCCATGGTGCCCATGGGGATAGTACTTCACAACTTCATCATATTCCTTGAAGTCAAAGTCCTTAAGCAAAGAGCAGCAATATAAGAATGAAGCTCATTCAAAGAGGGAAACCCAACAACAAGAAGAAGAAAACAAAAAGGGCAGAATTCTTGAGCAATATCTAAAGCTCAATTTCTTGGAAGAATATACCTCCATTATTGTGTCAGCACCAAATTCTTTCCTCCACTGGAGCATGTCAGACCACATTTGTTTTGTTTTCTCAATCTCAAATTTTCTAGCCCTCAAAAATCTGTATAATGAAAGGTTAAACTCAGAGGTTGATAACGCCATGGATAAGTATCAACTTCTCATTTATTTTGGGATAAAACCATACAATAAAGTTCTGCTTTGAAATACGAAAGCCGGGAAACAAAGTTAGAACCCCATATTTATCCTCAATATGGAAAACGGAACAGGAGAGGTAGTAACCTGAGCAACATATGGTAATCATCATGCTTTTCTGGCAATAGTTCCTCTGATATAAGTGCCTGACGCAATGCCTCAACAACCTGCACCTCCTCATCATCATGCTCATCTTCTATTTCCAGAGACATCACTTTACTGCTTCTCCTACCTCTTCTATTCAAAGAATACCTGGATTTACTGGAGGAATTCATTGTTCTCCTCCTAAAAGACACCGCTCTGTTGTCCCCAGAGACAACAGCATCTAATGCTATGAAAAAAAAAAAAATTATCAACACTAACATCCAACATGAGGTACAAATTATAAAAGGCTACAATGAAAAAAGGTAAAATTATCTCAATTCAACACCACCCTTTACTGCTCTTTCCACCACAATTCATCATAAAAAGTTGCAGCAAATGGTTTTTTTTTTTTTTTTTGCACATCGCATTTTTTAAAGTCTTCCAATATAAATGAGTGCCGACATACGAATCAGAAACACAAATACAGATGGCTATGCTGGATATATGAACTAAAAAATGCAATGCACTGGATATTGGTTTTGGAAGATCACCTGGGTTGAAAGATACAGTTCCTGACATGGGGATCCGTTTCTCCAAATTTCAATAGGCTAAATAGTAAAGGCAGATCAAGCACTCATACCACGGTTCTAGAACCAAAGACCAAATGCCTACAAAAATCCCACAAACAATCAGAATCCCATGATACAACCCGATTCAAAACTCCTTAAAAAGGAAAAAAACAATGCCAACGAAATAAACTGTACACGGACAAAATCAAGACCCCGAAGAAAGAAAACCGGTGAAAGAAAAGAGAGAGATTGGTTTTGGGGCAATACCTCTGCAAAGTGGAAAGAGGGATGCGCCGGTGGGTAATATTAAGACAGCGGATATTTTTGGGGAGTCCTTCGAAAATGGCGGCCGGACACACAAGGGGCTGAACACTGAAACATTTATGCTTATTTAGCAAGTTGGGATTTGTTAGAAGGAA